AAATAATTTAAATATCATGAAACGTTCATTTTTTTACCTTATTTTGAAAAGCCACAGGCTTCTTCCTCTCTAGCTGCGGTGCTTCGCATGCGCTTCTGATGAGAGACAATAGCAGGGCCGTATCCAGAGTTTCTAAACTACCGAGGGCCACCATCCGTTATGCCATGCACATTGAGAACAAACTGAAGACTAAAGCTGATTTCAGATTTAATAATTTGTTTAACCCTCTGGAGGCAGGCGTTGCAGATTAGCAACGTAAAAACCTACCTACCTGGTTACTCCACATACGTACTTCATGAGCATTTTTACCTCAGAAGTTCCCCTGAAGGACTTAGTTGTTCGTCCTTTAACCAAGACTTATTTTGAGCCTGAGAGGGTTAACACTAAAGTGACTTGTTTTAGTATGACGTTGCATTTTTGGTTCTTTATAAAACACAGAAAAGGTTTTTTTTAACATTGCTGACAGTTTTGTTCGCGGCTGTAAACTTCCTCAGAGCTGACTCTGATGGTGGCGTCACTTCCTACTCCGTTTATCCGCGGGCAGCAGAGGACGTTGTCGCCCTCTGCTGCCCGCTCTCCCCTCACTGATGACACAGTCCCATGCACGATCCAATGTGTAGACCCCATCGTCTCTGTTCATGGTCCCGCATCCACGTCTCCTTATCTCTATGGCTTCCTTCATCACTCATGACGTTTAGTGAAGGTTTACCATCACTCTTCCTAGTCTAAACATATCTAACGTCACATATAATCAGTACAATTTATGTATTTCAGTCACGTGTTCAGCAGCAAGCTTCTGGAAATTATAACATTATGTAATAACTACCAGTAACAATGTAATGGTGGCTTATCTATTGTATTATGTACAGGTTGGCAACATAATCCAGTCTAAGCTGTATTGAAATATGGAAACATTTGTGAATTACATGCTACAGCTGCTTGCTACAGCCCTGCTGCGGTGTCTGGAGCAGACTCCAGTTGCCGACTCTCAGGGTGCGTTCGATTTTCCTCGGAAGTCGGAATTGGGAATGACGTCACACCCGAGTTAACAGCGTTCTGGTTGCCGGGAGACGGAGAAGTCGGGATTCCAATATGGCGACGCCCTCGAAAACTGCTGTTTTGTTAGCTCTCAACGAACACAGACGACTCATAAACACACATAAAGCTCGTCTTCAAAGAATATTGGAAGAGAGACGAAGACGAAGAAGGTAGGTGTTCCTCTTTCAGCACATTGCTGTTGGTTGAGTCTTTGGTCAGGATTTTCAACCTTCATTGTGTGTTGTGCCATTCTCCAATCTTTTTTTAAAGGGATAGAAATCATATTGTTGTAATGTGAGACGCAAACAAAAAAGAGACAAACATGTTGTCGGATTTGTAATTAAGTGTTTATTTATGTGTATTTAGGAGTAATAAGATAATGATTTAGTGATGATTTAATTGAAGTTAAAACTATTATTTTCTCTTCTTACTCTGAAGTGCTTTGTGGTTTTTATCTTGAAAGGCACAATAAAAAACTGGTTTCTTCTTCTTCTTAGGATGTGCTGTCATCTCCTGCTGCAGAGAACGAAGAGGCTTATCCTGAAGACTGGAACAGAGTGGGAGGTCTTGCTGCACATGGATGAGCACACCTTTGCTCGCCATTTTAGGGTCACCAGGCCACAGTCTGAATACCTGACAACGAAGCTGCAGGAGAATGGAGTAGGCAGGGAGCACCATCAAGGCCTGCCACCAGTTCCTGGGACAAAGAAGGTGCTGATGCTTCTGTGGTGCATGGCGAACCAAAACAGCTTTAGAGAGATGTCTGACAAATTGGATGTGTCCCGGTCTGCGGCACACCAAATCATTGTGGATGTGCTTCAAATACTTTGCACACTTGGCTCAAACTTTGTCTCCTGGCCAAATGCCTGTGAGAAAGCAACATCTGCTCTTGCTCTTCAGCGACTCTGTGGCATCCCTGGTGTCACTGGTGCCATCGATGGGTGTCGTATAAGGGTGCAGAAGCTACCAGTGCGAGGTGTAGACTACATGAACAGAAAGTCTTTCTTCTCTGTCCTTCTCCAGGGGATTGTAGATGACAGAGGAAGATTCTTGGACATTTGTGCTGGACCACCTGGAAGGGAGCATGATGCAAGGATGTTGAGGGCTTCTCCCTTCTTTGAATCATGGCAGGAGAAAATGGCTGCTTACAGCGTACTTGGAGACAGTGCCAAGGACGTAATTTTCACTTTAGAAGTGGGGGGGTCATAGGGGGGGGGGGGGTATCTTTACAATATGTTCTAATGGGAAACAGGCTTCAACACAAACGGTTGCTTTCCGCTAGGTCCTAGAGCTCAACCAGTATCAATTTAATATAGCGTAATATTGTTTTTGGATGGTAAAAAGTGCAGGGGTCAAAACGTGACATTGGAAAAAGTGGGGGGGACATGTCCCCCCTGTCCCCCCCCAAAATTACGTCCATGGACAGTGCATACATCGGGCGAGATTTTGCATTTGTTGTAACCCCTCGACGCGACAACGGAGCCCTGACTTGTGAGGAACAACTTCAGAACAACAAGACCAGTCGTGGTAGGGTGGTTGTTGAACAAGCTTTTGGACGAATAAAGTGCATGTGGAGGCGTCTCCGTGATCTTCAGAACACCAACATCAAAACTGTGGTGATGATGATAATGGCAGCCTGTTTGTTGCACAACATGACTATTGCTGACTTGTGCCAGCTGCACCCCCAGGGCTGCCCAAGAGAGGATGATGACAACTAGTAGTGCTGTCCAAGTTGCAAGACGCTTGTTCTGCTTTTACACGTATGTTACGATCCCTGGTTTCATGCCTCTAGAAAAGTTGCTGTACTTAATTTTGTTTTTGTTTTATCTGAGTATACAGCCCAGCTCTCAATATTCTTCAGCCTGCGGCCCAGGGGATTCAATTGGCTTTGTTCCTGGTTCCACCGCCCATCACCTGGGAATCATCCAGAAATCAGCTGCTGGGTGGCATATAAGTCTTATAAGTCTCTTATATTATAAGAGACTTCCTGATCTGCCTGCAGTTGGGGAAGCAGCTGATGGTGTGCTATTTCCCCCACTTGGTCAGCTTTGTTGGAACTTTGTGCTGTTAAACTACTGTGAAGGATTACTAGTGAGATATTGTTGTTTAGAAGCTTGGTTAGACCTTAAGGTTTGTGTAGAGTTAAAGCTCCTCTGGTTGGATTTAGGGATAGTAAATGCTATTGCCTTTTCCAGTTGAAGTCCTTCTGAGCCTGAGGTTTTTGTCTGGTATATTCACAGCTATGAGAGCTTTAAGTTCATATTGTGAATGCCCTGTTTGTTTGGTAAGGTTTGTCTCCTTTAGTATTTATCCGCTGTTTTTCTTTATTAAATGCATGTACTTCTCCCATTCCATCTGGTCACGGGTTTATGTTACCTCCTTACCTTCCTAGCATAGCCAGGACGTAACAAAGTATTTAGCATCTCTTCTTGTTCTTGTCAGATATTGAAATATGTTGTTAATTGCAGTGTGCCTGTATTTCAGAGGCTTTATTTTATTAGTGTTGTCATGTTTGGAGGAAGGTACTTAACCCAAGACATGCAGAATACAACACTGACCAAAAACTGATGGAAAAAATGATTTATTTATAAGGAGGAACTTAAGGTGCACAGATAAGTCTGTGGTTGGAACTGCAACAACAGCTCAGCATCTGGAGGAGGGAGAACACAGGTGAGCTTAGGTTCTGGTTTCAAAATCCATTGTAGGCAGGCAGAGGTGTTCAGCAGACTTACTGTCGGGGGGTGTATGTGTTGGCTGGAGGAGGGAGAGGTAGAGAGCCGGGGAAGCGCAGGAGAGGGAGCAGAGGTGGAGAGAAGCGGGGTGTCCTGGTGGATGGGGCACTGGGTGAGACGAGAGGTGGGTTATGGAGGGTGGTGATATGGTCCGTGTGCTGAATATCCTAATCCTGGAGTAGAGGTCAGTATCCAATGAGGTCGACAGGAATCCTGAGGATGGGTAGATCCAATATAAGAGCAAAAAAACCTACGAAATAACATTTATCCTAAGAACACTAGAGGTAACACGAGTGGCTGGTTACTACAAAAACTGAGGCAATCTTCCGGCGTCGAAAGTGTGTCCACCATCCACCTTAAATAGGAAGGCACCCAGCTGATTGCTGATCAGGAACAGCTGGGCCACTCCCTCTCCTGGCAAGAGACTCACAGATGGTTATGAGAACAGGAGTACTCACCTCGGCTCATGACAAGTGTTTTCTCTGCTTCACACTCAAGTATTTATTCTGGGGTTTTACTCTTTCCTGTTCTCTCTCTCTCTCCATTTTTAACTCACAATTTACTATTTTCTTCTCATTTTTAACATGTTTTTTACCACTCTATAAAAATATTTATATATATATATATATACATTCTTTTTCTTCGTTTATTTCATTCAAAATAACAACAAATAAAACATAAACAATAAGAAATACATAAAAAATCAAATTTGAACGAAAAGGAGCAGAATGAAGAAAAACATCTTATAATTTCTGCCTCTTTTCCAGAAGAAATAATCAATTTATATACAAGTTCCATTAGTCAGACACACACACACACACACACACACACACACACACACAGATTAATTTTAAACTTTTTCCTGTTCTAAATTCCAGAGCGATCATCATCATTGATTTAATTTACATTTTCATAATTTAGTACACTCAATTTGGTACTTTTTTAAAATTTATTAAATAACATAAATAACAATTTTTTTTAATTTCCCTTTTAAGGTTATTCCATAATTTAACACCATGTACAGAAATATTCCACTCCTTAATTTCAGTTCTAAATCTAGGTTTTGTAAACACATAAGTTTCTTTCAGCATGTAATTACTAGTTCTCTTTTCAAATGTCCCCTGAATGTTTGTTGGCAGAGTACCTAAATTGGCTTTATACATGGTTTGTAAGATTTTCTAGTCTTTTAAATCATGAAATTTCAGTAATTTGTATTTAATAAACAATGGGTTCGATTAATCTGGCGACTTAAATGGCGAGCCTTCTCACTTTGCAAAACATCAGCATTTACGTTTAAACTCCAGAAAAAGCGAACAACAAACTGAATAGTGAACAAAGAGATTTAATAAAACACTTTAGTGGCAAACAAACATTTCATTTTCAACCTTTTCTTCTCCAAAAACACAACATTTAATAAAACTGCTGCCTTTCATTTTAGTTAAAAGAGCTTCCAGATCAGTAGCACATTTCATGCAACACCCTTAGAAGTCCCAAAATGTATATTTTAATTATGTTTATTAATTCTGTCCTGTGTGGACTCTCGTGTGTCTGTTTAAATGTCCCTTTTGGGTAAACCTTTGTCCACAAAGCTCACAGGCAAAAGGTTTCTGTCCTGTGTGGACTCTCGTGTGTCTGTTTAAACTTGACTTTACACTAAATCTTTGTCCGCAGAGCTCACAAGCAAAAGGCTTCTGTCCTGTGTGGACACTAGTGTGTCTGTTAAAATGTGTCTTATGACTAAACTTTTTTCCACAAAGCTCACAAGCAAAAGGCCTTTCTCCTGTATGGACTCTCATGTGAGTGTCTAAATTTCCCTTTTGGGTAAATCTTTGTCCACAAAGCTCACAAGAAAAAGGCTTCTGTCCTGTATGGGCTCTCATGTGTCTGTCTAAATTTCCCTTGAGTGTGAATCTTTGTCCACAGAGCTCACAAGCAAAAGGCTTCCGTCTTGTATGGACACTCATGTGACTGTTTAAACTTGACTTTACACTAAATCTTAGTCCACAGAGCTCACAAGCAAAAGGCTTCTGTCCTGTATGGACTACCATGTGACTGTTTAAACTTGTTTTTTGGCTAAACTTTTGTCCACAGAGCTCACAAGCAAAAGGCTTCTGTCCTGTATGGACTATCATGTGAGTGTCTAAATTTCCCTTTTGGGTAAATCTTTGTCCACAGAGCTCACAAGCAAAAGGCTTCTGTCCTGTGTGGATTCTCATGTGACTGTTCCAACTTGTTTTTTGGCTAAATCTTTTTTCACAGAGCTCACAAGCAAAAGGCTTCTCTCCTGTGTGAACTCTCATGTGAATATTTAAATATGATATGCAGCTGAAAATTTTTCCACAGTCATCACAACTAAATGATTTTAGTTTTGTCTGAACTTTCCTGCTAGAGTCTACATTTTGCTTCACTCTAACACGTTTCTTATCAACACAACAGCTTGAAGACTTCAGTCCTGTATGACTTGTCACTCTCATGTGTTTCTGGAGAGACCGCTCATGGAGAAACTGTTCACCACACTCTGGGCAGCTGAAAGATTTGACAGCCTTAACAGGTGTTTTAGAAGACCTGCTCTCCTTCCAGTCTTTGTTATCATCTTTGGTGTTTGGCTCAGAATCTGACAAGAGTTTCAGCTGACAGTCAGAATTGTTGCCATCCTGGTCATCATCTTCATCATTGCTGACTTCAGTCTCTGAAGAGTTAGAATCATATTCATAAAGATTTAGATCTGGATTCCTGGTAGTTTCTGGTCCTCCATAATCCTCTCTACCACTTTCTGCTTTCATCTGGTCAGTGGTGCTGCTGGTTGGAAGATCTCTGTCTTTAGGTTGGTTCTGATCAAACTGTGACAACAGAACTTCTCTTCCTTCTTCCTTAACCTGATGAGAAACTGCAGAGAATGAAATGTTGGTGGCATCAGTTTTAATCTCATCAAGCTGCTCCTCCTCTTCCTGCTTCATGTTGAGGGGCTCCATGTCCTTCTGGTTCAAAGGAGGCCTCAGTTCTTCAGGAGCTCTTCCTTCTTCCTTAAACTGACACAAAACTGCAGAGAATGAATTATCACAGTTTAAAATGAATTTAAATATAACAAAACTTTAAAATGTATTTTACTTTGAAAAACCAGTACTGCCGTTTTCCCCGTGAGCGAAGGAGCCGGCTTCTGTGCGGTGCGCTGCTCTCACGAGTTAAAGAAAACTACAGGGAGAGAAAAGGTGGAAGAAAGGAACCTTACGTTAGAAGAAGGCATTTTTAGTTCAGACCTGTGAAAACCAGCTTCATGCTAACGCACGCTGCTACATGTGAACAGTAACGTAGTCAATGTGGTCTGTCGTTAATGCGTAATTCCAGATCGGTAACAGCGTACAGCTTCATGTCGGGTCATGTTCCCACCGAGACTCATTTCTGCTCGCATTTTCAGAAGAAGAGGAAGGAAGCCGAGGAAGATGTTGAGGTAACGTTAGATGAAGATGCTCATTGTTCTTTATCGTGACCCAGTTCCCTCTGAGTGATCTGTACCGTGATACGTGTGATATTCCCAACGTTCCTATTGGTGATTGAAGGGAATGTAGGGATGGGTACCTTTGACATTTGAATCGATTCGGTACTAATTCCCGGTATCTAGGAATCGATACCGGTACTTAACGGTACCAATTTTAAATACTTTGGAGTGTTTATTATTTTAATTCTCTTTTATAATTAAATATATATTTTTCTCAATATTTAACCATATTTGATAAATATCACGATAAATAACACACAACTGTTTGTATTTTAACATCGTCCTTGTAGTTTTATAAGCTGATAATTAAACTGAAGCAAACATCTTTACTGTGAACTAAATTTACTGTGTATCTTCATTCCTTTTGCCGTCTTTTTTCATTTGATTTTTCCTACTGAGAAGTTAGAATTTCCGAGGAGAAAGCGAACGCACCATTAGCTGATAACAATGGTGGCAATGGAAGCTAACATACCAAGCTAACGTTATCTTAAACAGTTTATTTAGCTGCAGGAGCAGATTAAAACGATGATGCCTCACAATTAGATCGTTGTCGCTGGTTTCATCTTCACCCAATCACCCGTCGCATTTAGTAAAGTGAAACCAAACTTTAGAGCGCGTTCATGTTCTTCTAGTCAGAAATTCGGAGTTCCGAAGAGAAAGCGAACGCACCATTAGTAAAACGGAAGCTAACATATCAAGCTAACGTTATCTTAATCATTTTAGTTACCTACCGGAGCAGATTAAGATGAGGATGTCTCACTTAGATCGTTGTCGCTGGTTTCATCATCACCCAGTTACCCATCACATTTAGTGAAGTGGACCAAGCTTTAGCGTGCGTTCTTTCTACCATGCTGCTCTGTTTACAACTAGCTCGCAGCGACCGATGACATAACGCTCTTGCACATGCGCAGCTGTCTTGGCAAGTTCACATTATGAAGGACGGGTACCGAAATGAGGCACCGTTTGAAACGACGTGAATCGGTGCTCAGTCAGTACTATGGAATTCGGTCGGTACCTTAAAAAGTACCGAATTCGGTACCCATCGCTAGGAATCCAACATGCCCTGCTTTCTGGTCTTCCCAAAAAGAACATCTCAGGTTTACAACTTTTACAAAACTCAGCAGCACGTGTCCTGATGAAGACCAGGAACAGGGGCCAAATCACTCCGGTTTTAAAATCACTGCACTGGCTCCCTGTATGTTTCAGGATCGATTTTAAGGTTCTTTTAATGGTTTTTAAGTGTCTTAATGGTCTTGGGCCTTCTTATCTTTCAGAAATGCTTTTACCATATAAACCATTGCGGTCTCTGCGCTCTTCTGGCAGCCATCTCCAAGTTATCCCTAAAGTTAAAACTCACACCCACGGCGAGGCGTCCTTCAAGTATTACGGCCCTCGCCTTTGGAACGGGCTGCCGGAGGACCTCAGGGCCGAAGGGAACGTCCAGGCTTTTAAGAATAGGCTCAAGACCTACCTTTTTAGCTTAGCTTTTAACTGATCTCTATTTATCTATATACACATATTTATCTCTTTTAATTAATTTTATCATTTTATCTACATCTTAGTGTTTTTACATGATTATGTTTTCTTTTACTATCTTTATAATCACTTTTTATCAGTTACTTTTTATCATTATAAGCTTTTATTATTTTAATTCTTATATATCTTAAATCCTCCAGTGTTTCCTCTGCGGAGCCCTCTGCCTTGGGGCCGGTGGTCAGGGGCGGCGACGGCCGGGGCGCTCCTCGGGTAGTGCCCGGGCAGTGGTGGAGGTTTCTGCCCTACGCCACTGGGCGTCATGGGCCGGTGTCTTGGCTGCTGCCGTGGATCTGTTGCTGCCAGGGCAGATGGCTCCGCTGATGTGCCGTTCATTACCTGACCCATCTGAACTCAGCCTATTGTTTCCTCTGGTGTTCACGAGTGTGTGTGTGTGTGTGTGTGTGTGTGTGCATGGACGAGAGTGCGGGTGATTGTGTGTCCCCTTTGGAAGTTGGGTGCGGGAGGGGAACTGTAATTTTTAATTGTTTTATACGTGGGGAGGGGGCTGGGATGGGAATGTGGGATCTATGGGGCCATTTTAATCTGTAAAGCACTTTGAGTTGCATTTTTTGTATGAAAAGTGCTATATAAATAAAGTTGATTTGATGTGGCTAATATATTAGACAAGTAGGCTTAAGTGGAGGAGGTGAGTGAAGGAGACGTGGCTGTCGAGGTGGGAAGACATGTGCACCTACGTGCAAAACCGCCACCGTCCTGGAAGGAGCTCGCCGGTCTGTGTGGGCCTGGACGTCTTCTCGTGGCACCGTCGCGTTTGTTGGATCCTCCACCGTTCTGCTTGGTGCCATTGGTGGGCTTCGACTTGGATGCTCCATCGCAACGTGTATTCCGGGGGTTTTGCTACTGCTGGAAGGGTGCCAACCTTGCTAATCTGCGTCATGTGGACTACGTGTCAACTGCGCCTGTGTCTCTGGATTCTGCTGCTACTGGACTAAACACATCATCGTCGGCTCGCCTCGGCCTGGTTAATGCAAGGTCTGTAATGAACAAAACTTTTATTCTGAAAGACTTCTTTGAGAAACAAGGGCTCGATTTTTTGGGTATTTGTGAAACCTGGATGCCGATGGGAGACACGAGTGCCCTGTTGGAATTATTACCTGCAGTTGTTTTAATGCGCCAAGAACTGCGGGCAGGGGCGGGGGGCTCCTCATTGTTTATAAATCAGGTTTCAGCTGCAAACAGATTATCCCTTTAAGTCCTTTTTATAGTTTTGAGGTTTGCTCTTTGAACTTGGACCTTTTCCTCAACTTTTTGTGGCGTTGATTTATCGCCCGCCTGGACTGAATGTGGAATTTCTAAAAGAGTTTGCTGATTTCTTGGCTATGAATGTGTTGAAATATGATCAGATTTTGATTGCAGGAGATTTTAACATCCATATTTGTTGCCCTGATAAGCCGATGGTCGAGGACTTTTTGCACCTGTTAAGTTCACTGAATCTTTCTCAGTGGGTTCAGGGTCCTACACATACGAAGGGACACACTCTTGAACTGGTTCTTTCCTCTTGCTTCAGTCCATTAATGTGGACACGCTGAGGCCTGTTTTCTCAGACCACTCTCCGATTTTATGTAATTTTAGTGTTCCATCTCGGCAGGTCCCAGCTTCTCTGAGAGGTGCAGTCGAGCCATTAATCCTGCTAAGGTGGCGAGATTCAGTGAGTGCTTTGGTCTAGCAGGACAGGATCTTCTCTTAGCCCACCTGCCTGTTGAAGAGTTTATTACTCGTTTTGATACACTATGCACATCTGTTTTGGATGTTGCTCCCTTTAAAATTAGGAAAGGAGGGCATAGGGCAGAGCCGTGGATGTCTGATGAGACCCAGGCCTCCAGGCAGGCCTGCAGGAGAGCTGAGCGAAAGTGGAAGCAAGACAAACTTCACGTGTCCTATGAAATTTATAAAAAGTCACTTTTTGATTACCAGGAAGTGGTACGACAGGCTAGGATCAGACACTATGCCTATGCCACTTAGGGCAAACCTGCCAGCCTTCCAGAATATATCTATGACAGCGCTAGAGGAACTCATTTCTAAGCAAAAACCTTATGGTTCCCCTTATGATGCTCTTCCCCCAAGGATGCTTAAGGAGGCTTCTTCTGTTCTGGCCCCTTATATACTGGTTATCTTGAATACCAGTCTGGCCTCTTGTGTGGTTCCCCTTACCTTTAAGAGGGCCGTTGTACGACCGCTGCTGAAAAAGAAGGGGTTGGAGGAGGCTGTGTTAGCCAATTACAGACCTATCTCACATCTACCTTACTTATCCAAGCTGCTTGAGAGGGTTGTATATTTACAGCTGGTTGCATTTTTAGACACACAAACTCTGGGAGATCTGTCAGTCAGGGTTCAGAGCAGGTCACAGTACCGAGACTGCACTTGTAATGGTTCTTAATGATGTTTTTTTAGCTTGTGACGGGGGGGGGGGGGGGGGGGGGGGGGATGTTAGATTTGTCTGCGGCCTTGTCTGCGGCCTTTGACACGGTCGATCATGACATACTTTTGGATCGGCTACAACACTAGGCGGGAATTACCGGTGCAGCCCTACAATGGCTACACTCCTACTTATCCGACAGAAGTTTTTGTGTCAGTGTAGGTGAAACCTCCTCGACCTGGGCAGGACTCAAGTGGGGTGTGCCACAGGGGTCTGTACTGGATCTGCTTCTTTTTGCCATCTACTTACTACCGTTGGGGAATCTTCTTCGGCGGTTCGGCATGCGTTTTCATTTTGTATGCTGACGACTGTCAGATCTACCTCCCCCTTCAGCGGGGGGTCGATGGGTCAATATCAAAGCTTGTAGATGCCTTAGAGGATGTGCGCTCCTGGATGAATACAAACTTTTTACATCTGAATGACGCTAAGACTGAAGTAATTGTACTTAGCCCTGGCATGTCTACACGCCCATGCAATGCTGTGAATCTGGGCCCTTTAGCATCCAACATGAAGACCACCATCCGAAATTTGGGAGTGCAACTGGACTCAGCCCTTAAATTCGACGCGCAAATCAACCAGGTTGTGCGATCGTGTTTTTTTAACTTACGCCGACTAGCCAGAACTAAGCCCCTGCTGTCCAGAGTACATCTAGAGACTGTCACACATGCTTTTGTTCTTTCAAGGCTCGACTACTGCAATGCACTGTATGTCGGCCTTAGTCAGGGTGCGGTAGCACGCTTGCAGTTAGTTCAAAACTCAGCCGCTAGGTTCGTGACAGGCACTAGGCGCAGGGAACATATCACCCCTGTGTTGGCATCCCTTCATTGGCTGCCTGTACAAAACACGGCAAAATTCAAGGTCTTGGTACTGGCATACAAGGCCTTACGGAACTGCTACAGCATATCTTGGCAACCTTTTGCATAGGATGCCCCCTCGCAGGCCCTTCACTCAGCCAGCAGGGAGCTGTTGATCGTTCCACGCACTAAGTGCAGGTCACGGTGGGACCGTGCGTTCTCTGTGTTGGCGCCTGCACTTTGGAACCAGTTGCCTTTGGTGGTGCCTCAGTCACCCTCATTGGGGGTTTTTAAGACTCGCCTTAAGACCCATTTTTTTGTGAAGGCTTTTCAGGATTAGCAAATTTTACTCAGTTTCAATGCCCCGGGCTCTTTATCTTTTTCTGGATTTTATTTTTTGCTTTTACTCTCCTCTTTTAATTGATTTTATGCTGGTTTTACGATTGTTATATTTTATTCTGATGGTTTTATGTTTTTATTGTGTTGTGTTCAGCACCTTGGGCATCTGCATTGGTCGCAGAAGGGGCTTTATAAATAAATGAAATGAAATGAGAGACAAGTGGAGAGGCAGAGCAAGGAGCAGCATGATGATGGAGAGAGCAGCAGGGAAGCAGAGAATCTGGCTGGGACCCAAAATGTTCCTCCCATGGCTGTAGCACAACAGTCAAGCATTACAATTCATGTCAAGTTAAATAAATATTTTATTTAATTTTAATTAAACATGAGCTGTTTTACACACTCCTGCATTAATGTTCACCAAAAACACACAGTCTCATGTCTCAGAACGACCGTCTCCATACGTCTCTACCACCCTGCATTTAGGGGCGTGGTCCTGGTCAACACCATCTCCTGAACTCCAAACTGAAGGTCAGAATGGGAAAGAAAGGTGATTTAAGCTAATCTGAGCGTGGCATGGTTGTTGGTGCCAGACGGGCCGGTCTGAGTATTTCACAATCTGCTCAGTTACTGGGATTTTCACCCACAACCACTTCTAGGGTTTACAAAGAATGGTGTGAAAAGGGAAAAACATCCAGTATGCGGCAGTCCTGTGGGCCAAATGCCTTGTTGATGCTAGAGGTCAGAGGAGAATGGGCCGACTGATTCAAGCTGATAGAAGAGCATCAGAAAAACTGCTGATCGCTGACATTATTGCTTAAAATCATAACTGCCTTATAAGTAAAACATCTGTTGCTTCATTAAAATACAAGTGTTATCCTGTGCCAGCCTCCCCGTCCAACAGGGAGGACAACGACCTTCCTCAGACCACGCTGGTCTGCGTTATCAGTTATACTCCCATGGGAAACAGCATGTTGACTGAATGCACCTGGTTTTGTTTGAGCAGGTATCTGCAGGTTTAAGGGAGCCAAATTTAAGACTTTTTAAGACCTTTTTTAAGGCCACTTTGACCAAATTTAAGCTATTTTAAAAATTTAATTTAAGCTATAATTTCCAGCTATTGCCTGGAACCGGTGCTAACCACGTCGCCAACGTGGGATTAGCCATCCAGCTACCATTAAGCTTACACTTCCCCATGGCGCACGCTCCCACTAGCTTAACCAGCTAATGTGCTCATTTAAAATAGCCCCCTTTCACAACTAACTGAATGTGTATGGTTCCGCTTACGCCAACATCGTACACAAAAAATGCTGAACACCAACTAGACATTTATGAAAATTTTATAGAAATAAAAGAATCTTGTTTATTGGGTTTTGGACATTTAAGACATTTGGAAACTGTATTTAAGGATTATTTGTCATTTTTAAGGATTTTTAGGGCATTAAATTTGGAAAAGCTAATTTAAGACTTTTTAAGGACCCACGGATACCCTGTTGAGGGAGTTGTGGTATTGTTTTTACTCCCTACGTTAAACAGCTTTCCACCTGAATCTCTACGGAGCAGTTTAGGAATGTGTTGTGTGTGCTTGCTAATAAAAACCCTCAGAGAACGGATGTTCCCCGAGAGATCCTGTGAACGATGCTTGGGTGTGTATTCATTTCGTCTCTCCACTTTACAAAGTAAAATGGAACAGTAATATTGCTCTAAGCCTCTGTGCGTTTGACTTCTCTCAAGGTGACCTGGTTTATTAAATAATAACCCAACATTTTTGGTACCGTGACCGTGCGCTCAGACCCAGCCGTGGGAGGCTTTCTCCGGGGAGCCGACGAGGCGCCGCTTTCATCAAAGCCCAGGGGGCTGACTTGCTCCGCTGGCCGGCTGTTCAAGCTCAGCAGAACGTCTTCCGCCTACGGCTCTCGTGCGTTCGGATTCAAGGTGAATTGAACGCACAGGGGGGAGTAAGTACCTTTTTGATACGCACCTTTTCATAAACAGCTGTTTGCCAGTGTGAGTACGTCAAAGGACGCTTTGAGCCCCGACGGGAGTCGGGTATTGCCCTAGGTCCGGCTGTCCGGTTAAAAACTGTGTGAAACAAACATGAAAGAAAAAAACGGTCACCGGACGCTACCGGAAAAGGTTGTAAACAGAGCTGAATGGACGCATTCAGTCCGACCCCCAGCGGTCACAGGTGTGGCGGTAATAATACAGAATAGCAGATCAAAGGGAAAAGCCACACTAACGTGGGCACTAAATAAAAAGCGCCGCTTTAACGCGGCCACTATATAGGCGCAACGCTGGCTGGCAGCCGTGTGTTGGCATAATACAGAAATCACACTGTTGCTGTTGATTATGAAATATGTTTAAGGTGCTGAGGAGGTACTAAAGTAAAATACGATCGCTGTATTTGGCTCAAATGAAGAAAATCAAATACTAAATTAAAGCGTTTAATTACTAAAATAACACTGCTTTCTCCTCTTCTTCCCACTGGCAACAAGAGGAGACAGCAGAGGGAAGATGCCTGTGGACGGACACAACTTCCCAAAGATCCGCGGCTGTGTTCCCAACATTCTTCTCCTGATGCGTTTGAGGCTTAAAGTCGACCATGACTACTTAAAGAGCTCACCAGAGCGGCTGGGTATAAGAGAAGGCTGAAACTAAATGCTTTAGCGACCATTTTCCCACACAAGGAGCCTAAACGCCCTCGGAGGGACGAGAGACGCTGGACGCTGTCCTGAGCCCATAACCCACTCCGGCTGCTTCGTTCACGTTCAGCCAACCATCGGACACGCCACTCGTCACGGATGAAGCTGAACGTTCACCTCTCCCGTCAGTAAAACAAGCAGTAAGTGCAGCAACTCAGTGTTGTCCACATATATAATATCTGCAACAATGATTAAAGTGGTTTCACTGAACATCCTAATCATCTATGAAGCACACGACAGCTCTGGATGCTAAAATTCTCCTAAATCATTCATGAATAAATCTGATCACACGATAGCTTACAGATAACTTCTGCTGACACAAATGTGAGCTCTCTCCCTCTCGGTTACCATGGAGACGCATTTGCCGCACACGCACCACTGGTTCTGTCCTGCTCTCGCTTCATCCCGCCCTTCGTGCTCTTCATGTTGATGCTCGTGTTGTGACACATGGTCAGTGATGTCATCATTAATGTTTCGCTCTGGTTCAAAGTGAAAAGGCTGAACAGATGACGTGTTGATGTCGCTCAACAGTCACTACAGGGTCCCAAAGCCGCCGGTGCAACCGAGGTACAACCATATGACGTCACTACCCAGAGTGCAGTGCGACGCTAACAACAATGGCGACCTACGAGTTAAACCATTTTTACTAATTTTATAAAGATTAAGACATCAAGAAGGTTTTTACACCATTTTAATATAACTGATACTAACATTTATCTTTTAAGAAGCACAGAGTTTTGTAACCTGGGTTCCTTTTAAAATGACAACTTTTGTCGCCAATGGCAGTGAATGAGTTAATGATGATGAGGGTGGCTCCTAGAGGCTGAGGTGTAGGGCTAAAGTGTCATCACTCACTGTGGTCTGGTCCAGACGCCGTCTCTTTACTGGTGCTCCTCAGTAGGTGACGTGAAGCTCCAACATCTGAGCGTTCTGTGTTCCTCAGAGGAGAAGAAAAGTAACATTAGCACTGCCTACATTATTTTTACTAGCATCTCAAGGCCTTGGAGAAGCAGATCTTCACTTACCTAAACATCAGACCAGTTTGTCCCAGCTGAGCTCATCAGGGCGTTAGTCTGACAGCCTGTCAGTGAAACACGGCTCCAGCCTTCTGGATGTGGACTCTAAAAAGCAAAGGAGCCTTTTTACTGTTGTTTTCATTATTTTACAGCTGATTTGATCAGATTTCTGACGCTCATGCAGACGAGTGTCGGTGAGAGTTAAAGCTTTAATGTACGCCAATCGGAGGTCACTAAAATTAATGTTGCTTCGGTGTGTAAGTTTGCCAAAACAATGTCGGACTCCGTAATTTTCTCTGGCCCCCTGCCTGATCGGACCAGTGACGACATGTTTAGCCGCATGCTGTCCTTCAACCGCTGGTTGTCTAGGTGGTGTCCTGAAAACAACGTGGGCTACATTGATATTGGAAAACTTTTTGGGGAAAACCTGGTCTGATGCGGAGAGACGGCATCCATCCCTCTTTGGATGGAGCAGCTCTTCTTTCTAGGAACATGGCCAGTTTTATTAGTCCTCCATGACAACCCAGGGTCCAGACCAGGAAGCAGAGTCGTAGTTTAACCCACCCCTCTGCAGCTTCTGTACTGTTACCCACCCACTACCCCATAGAGACAGTGTCCTGCCCACGGCCAAAACCACACAGATTAAATATCAGGCTTAGTAAAGCAAATCATGGAAATCTCATAAATATTAGAACAAATTCAACTGAGCAGCAAACTAGAAAAATTAAATGTGGGTTGTTGAACATTAGATCCATTTTTTCTAAGACTTTGTTGGTTAATGACTTGATTTGTGATAATCAGATCTCTTTGCTCTCTCTCACAGAATCATTTTTCTCCAGATGACAAAGAGCAGCGAAACGTCATTTACAAAGTTTACAAGGAGAGCGTCAAGGCAAGTGATGGCAACACCACAAACTTGTTTAATCACTTGAAAAGAAGGCATCCCAAACAATACAACGAGAGCTAGCTGGCAGCTAAAGCTAAAAAGCCTGCGGCTGCAGCGGCTAGCGCTTCTTCCAGGCAGCAAACGCTAACAGAAACACTCAAAACTCACTCCCTACGACAGAGACAGCAGACGATGGAACAGCATGACCGATGCAGTGACGTACCACTTGGTCAAAGATTTGTGTCCCGTGCGAACAGTAGGAGCGGGATTTAAGAACATGATAACATTGGATCTGTGCTACGAGTTTTCCAGCCGCAAGTATTTTTTGAACACCGCCATTCCACGCATGTACGCTGAATGCAAAGTGAGAGTTGCAGAAAATATTCAGAATGCGCAGTTATTTGCTACCACAAGCGATCTCTGGTCCAGCCGCACATCAGAGCCGTATTTGAGCTTAACTATCCACTACATGAGCAACTGGGAGCTACATAGTATTTTGAACAAGTGAATGTTTGCACAATACGTTTGCAATTGACATGTTTGCACTTTAAATATGTTTACGATTTTAATTTATGTTAAGTTACTTGAAAAACGAGAAAAACTGATTTTTATAATTGTTTCTCTCAGGGCTTTTATCATCTCTGGTGTGAGTTTAAAATATAAGTGTGTTAGCACTGTGCTGATTATCCCTAATATGAATAAATGTTTATTTATTCAATGTTTCTCTTCTTTAATACGCAATTGAAGTTATGCTATTCATGGATAAAAAATTGTGATTAAAATCGAAATCGTGATAAAATATTGGAAAAATCGTGATATTCTATTTTTGCCATATCGCCCAGCCCTATTTGTGCCTGATGCGATTCACTGCTGTGGAGCGGGGCGCATCACCTTGTCATCCGGTGACGCACCTCACTGATGCGGCCACCAAGCAGCGAGCACTCCGCTGTTTTTGCGGTCGGTAGATCTTTTAGAACTGCAGTTCAAAGGTAACTCATGAGGTGAATATATATGAACCCAGGTAGCAGCTTCTCTTTAGGATTGAGAGGAGATGCAGGAAGATAATAAACAGGCAGGACAGAAAAATAGTCAAATAAAAACAAGTTAGTTTTTGTACCTGGTGGTTGCAACAAACAGACACCATTGAAGGTCATCAGAAGTGAGGAACAGAAAATGAAATAATTATTTTAATGTTTAGAGCAGCAGGAACTCCGAGAGGCTGCAGGCGCATCAGTGAGTTTGCGGCCACTGCGCAGGGGGAGGGGGGAGAGGGCTGAAGCAGGGGGAGGGGGAGAGGGCTGAAGCAGGGGGAGGGGGAGAGGGCTGAAGCAGGGGGAGGGGGGAGAGGGCTGAAGCAGGGGGAGGGGGAGAGGGCTGAAGCAGGGGGAGGGGGAGAGGGCTGAAGCAGGGGGAGGGGGGAGAGGGCTGAAGCAGGGGGAGGGGGGAGAGGGCTGAAGCAGGGGGAGGGGGAGAGGGCTGAAGCAGGGGGAGGGGGGAGAGGGCTGAAGCAGGGGGAGGGGGGAGAGGGCTGAAGCAGGGGGAGGGGGGAGAGGGCTGAAGCGGGGGGGGGAGGGGGCTGAAACAGAAACTACCGTTGTTAAAAGAAATGTGTTTAACTTTGAAAATGTGGGCGCAATTTTAATTGTCAAAAACTCCAGCGAACCATTAGTTCATTTTGCTCAAATAGAAATAGAGGCCTGCCTCTAATACTGGCCCTCCTTCCAATAAAGGCCTGGAGCTTGATGAGCTTGAGTCAAATACAGGCCCGGGCCTGTATTAGAGGATTTACGGTATTATAAAAAAAACAAGACGATTATTATTATTGTCCACTTTTTTACCGAGGTTTACCGCTACACCGGTTACCGTGACAACCCTAGTTGCTACAGGTAAAAAAACTAACTTGTTTTTATTTGACAATTTTTCTGTCCTGCCTGTTTATTATCTTCCTGCATCTCCTCTCAGTCCTAAAGAAAAACTGCTACCTGGGTTCATATATATTCACCTCATGAGTTACCTTTGAACTGCAGTTCTAAAAGATCTACCGACCGCTAAAACAGCGGGGCGCTCGCGGTGCAGAGAAGTCTCCGGAGGATGAAACAGGTGATGGGCGCTCGCTCCGCAGCAGCAGCGAAACGCATCAGACACAAATAAAAGACAGAAAGCATGAAGGATATGAGCCGACATGAACGATAGCATGTTAAATTTGTTTTTGAGGTGGCGAGACTTTGATAATGTTACTGCGGCCGTGCTCAGGACGCATCTGTCTGGAGCGCGTCAACGATCAGAGCTTTGTGCCTCACAGCTCTAAATAATCGCCAGAGTCCACATAGATAATTTAATATAAGCAGTACCAGGATCGTTTTCGGGATAAAAAATAGTCTACAGTCCATCTTCCCTAATGTGTTTGTGGCCCTGCGGGTTTTTCTAACTTTACCGGTTACTAATTGTGAAGGGGAACGATCATTTTCACAAATGGCAAGAATAAAAAATGATCTGAGAGCAACACAAACTCAACAGCGCCTCAGTCACTGACGACTATTGAATCTCAGCTTGTCAGGAGTCTGGACTTTGATGACATTGTAAATGAATTTACTAACAGAAAGGCCAGAAAGCAGTTTTACTGAAGGCAAGAGGAGACAAAAAGAGGAGGAAGGAGACATAGAGCCCTGCACTGAAGCCCTAGGCCCTCGGGTCGGTCCGACGAATGAGTAATTACCTCGGACACGGGCGCCTTTGTTTTTAATCGAATTCATAAAAACAACTGAAACGCTTGAACGCAGCAGCACCTGCCTGTCTGTCACGCACCGTTAGCTCAGTTAAGGTGTGTGTGGTTTATAAATGCGCCTACATAAACGAATTCTCAAACCGCTGATTGAACCATGTGCCCCTATTCTCATATGCCATTTAATGTCCACTTTGATGTCAGAAACCATTCGTTTATTCTCATGAAAACAGCAGCGTTCTATTTTTCTGTGAATAAATTCGCTCTGCAGTTAAAAAAAATACAGCATTCATTGCTGCTTTTTTTTCCAACTGCAGAGCGCATTTTCAGAGCGGCGGTTTAAATTTACAACGCTAATTGGGGGCGTTTATTTAATCTGCCGCTCAGAAAATGCGCTCTGCAGTTAGAAAATTAGAACGCTGCTTTTTTGTCTAATTGCACAAGAGCGCGTTTTCAGAGCAGATTAAATTTACAAACGCATCCAATTAATACAGCGTTCGTAAATTTCATCTGCTGCTCCAAAAACACGCTCTGTTAGAAAAAAAAGCTGCATTGATGCTGTTTTTTTAATTTTATTTTTTACTGCAGAACGCTTCCCACAGATAATTAGAATGCTGAGCATTCTGTCACGCTAAAACATTATGAAAGGTTAAAAAAAAAAAGTCAGGCTGGGGCTCCACCCCCTCGGCCGGACCGGACACGGGCTCAGAATTTAGGCCCGTGCAGGGCTCTAACAGGAGTCAAGAGGAGGAAGGAGACAGGAGACAAGAGGAGGAAGGAGACAGGAGACAAGAGGAGGAAGGAGACAGGAGACAAGAGGAGGAAGGAGACAGGAGACAAACAAAAAACATGCAGATGTTTCATCTTTGCAAACTTTTCAATAACTGTATAATCTTTTAAATAATTCTGCATTACTTGCTGTTGTAGTGTGACAGTGGGATCTCTTTTACAGCAGACTCTTGCCCCCACTGTCCCACAGACTGACAACATTTTTGTTATTACAGACAGAAGAGAAGACAGGTGCGCTGTGAGGAAGAGAGAGAGAGAAAAAGAGGAGAAAAGAGACGACAGAGGAAGAATGACATATGAGTGAGGCACAATAGGAAAATCATCAGGTATGAGTGTTTGTGATTAGGTTATAAAACTATTTTGACCTGGAGGTAAATGCTTTTGTATCAACATAAGTAAGTGATTTTTAATATTGACGGTGTCATGAAATGTCTAAGCTAAGCACATTGTGCCCAGGGGCCCCTGCACTGATAATCCGGCCCTGCCCAACAGTGAGCTTAGCTGCGTGTGACTGATGCAGAGTTGGTTTTTATATCTGCAGAGACAAAAACTAGCCTCACTTCACTCAGAGATTGTTCTTTAAAACTCGTATTAAATCCGCTGTGCTGACGCACTTTAACCACTTAGTCGCGCTGCTCTTTAGCTGATGTGGGATTTATTTACTGGATGCTAACATCACATCACACTCACGGAGTAACACACACAGGCGCTCTGCTGCTACAGTCAGTGGAAGGTTATCATCTGGTGTAAAAAGGCGTTCATCACAATTCCCACATCACGTTTTATTCCACGAAAATCGTCCGAATCCACATTAATCTGGGTGCTAGCTTTACTAGCATGTTGTGCTAGCGTTAGCAGGTGGGATGCTAATGCTAGCACGCTGCTAATGCCCGTAAATGAACGTGTACAGTAAAGTTAGCCGACATTTTAGAGTGATATGAAGCTTACCGCTCTGCTGCTGTGTCGAGCTGGGTCCAGCCAGCCGCGGGGCCTTTCTGCTGGGCTAAACTAGTTCGTGTCGCACCGCCACGGCTCAACAAAAGCCACCACACCTATAAAACACACTTTTGTTGCCTTTTCTAAGAGATGCTAATGACTCCAACTTGTTGTTTCCGTTTCGGATCTTTATTCCGGGTTACTGTTGGCCGCAGCCCACGTCTTAACTCCAGCAGAAACACCGTTAACGATCTCCGATCACACTAGCTCGTTTTCTTCTAAACACCCGAACCGGAACTCTGCGCACAGCCGGCCAAGAACAGCCCTTCAACATAAAAGTCCAACCACAACAAATCGTAACCCGTTACACTTCTGTACAACAACGTAAGAAGTGACACATATAGCCTATATTTGCTCACTTATGCTAACCATAATCGTAGTTTAAAATTACTTAAATATCATGAAATCGTTAAAGAGCAAGTAACGTCTAAATTAACTGTTTTTGCTGATGAACTGTATAAACGACTTTCTAGTGTTTTAAATGTGTGTATTCATTATTTTAGCATTTTGGTGCATTTTCTTTAAAAATTAAAAATTCTGCCTAAATACCACAGTATAGCGCCACCCAGGGGTGGACTGGGATCAAAATTCGGCCCTGGAATTTTCTCTTCAGACCAGCCCACTACATTAGGCGCGGACACTTCGTAGAAGTCGGCAAATTTTTCAGCGTCTCCTCTCTGTATACTGCAAAGGATAGTCATATTCTGTTTAGTTAACAAATAAAGAATGTAAATTAACTCAAGGCCTAAAATTGACAGCTATCTCAATCAATCAAGCAATCAGTTTGTATTCATTATACTGTCAAATAACAACAGAGGTTGTGTCATGACTAAGGGTGGGGCAGCAAGACTACTGGGAAGAGCCCTGGTGCTACCTTTCAAGTTTTTAGTCTGTGACTGTAAAAATCTTGTAGTGTACACCCAGTGTTTGTTAAAAACAGACCCGGACAATAAAAACTGTTGACTTGAAGAAAGCTTTTGATGTTATCGATCACTCGAGGTTACTTCAGAAATTACACCAGTATGGAATAAGAGCACACCAATGGGTTAGAAGTTATTTAAAGAATAGAAAACAATTTGTCCACCTAAACAACACTAAATCAGAACTGCAGGAGATTAATTATGGTGTCCCACAAGGGTCGGTCCTTGGACCTAAACTGTTCATACTATTTATTAATGATCTTGTAAGTGTATCTAAGCTACTCGGTACTGTTTTATTTGCTGATGACACAACATTGTTCTATTCAGGGTCAGATATTAATGAAGTTACTAGAGTGATAAATGACTAACTGATAAAAGTTATCAACTGGTTTGACATAAACAGACTTTCACTGAATCTTAATAAAACAAATTTTATGTTGTTTAATGACAGAGACAACAAAGATGTAACAATAAAAATAAATGGAATGGACATTCGAAGGGTGAAAGAAACTGAATTTTTAGGAGTAAGTTTGATGAAGCTATTACCTGGAAGTCACACACAGGTTATATCAGAGGTAAAATTGCCAAAGCCATTGCAGTACTAACTAAAGTTAGGTTTTTACTGAATAGTTCTGGATTGCTGACATTGTATAACTCACTAATTGTTCCATACTTGACTTACTGTGTAGAAATATGGGGATCCACATGTAAAACTCATACACAACCACTGTTTATTCTACAGAAAAGAGCATTGAGAATCATTAACAGCTCAATTACTGCCGTGTAGAGCAGTGGTTCCCAAACTTATTTAGCCGCGCACCCCCTTCTATGTCCCGACCATGTCGACGCACCCCCCCCCCCCCCCCACACACACACACACACACACACACATCACGGCATGGCTATATATACATATATATATATATATATATATATACATATATATATATATATATATATATATATATATATATATATATGTATATATATATATATATATATATATATATATATATATATATATATATATATATATATATCAGACGTCAAGCTAGACAGGGTTAAAAAAATATGAACGACCTTTTACCCCATCACTTTCATTTTTTAAATAGTAATTAATAAACATTCGATACCATTACAATTTCCTTTGATTTAATTTTAAATAAATATTTAGAGTGCCCAGGTAGCACATAAACAATGCAATTTAACGGTTTTCTTAAAGTAGGAACGTTTAATCTGTGCGGCCAGAGCGCTCTCCTTCCTTCTGCTCTGCGTAAACCTGAACTGGCCACCTACTGGTGCGTAATCAAATGTCTATAGGGGAAAAGGAAAAAGCTTTAGCCATGAGGTTCACTTTTGCCTCAGACCGACTTGTTGCTGTTTTATGGTGTGGCTGAATCTGCGATCCGCTGCCACGCGGACTGGAATAACAAATGCTGCAGGTTCGGAGTCACTGGCTGGAGCGGACCCGACTTTCATACGTCATCCCAAAATAGAAGCTAATATCTTAATTTGACCTGGAATGAAAAATGTTGTTATAAAACCTCTTAAAAGTTTTTATCACAGAGGAGGCAGCTCTCATTTCTGCCTTCAGTCTGACGGTATCAGTCTGGCGCGCCGGAGTTTGCGCAGCGTGCACTTATTGAATCTGTGTGTGTGTGTGTGTGTGTGTGTGTGTGTGCGTGCGTGCGCGCGCGCGCGCGCGGCACAGCTCCACGAAGCTTGGTTTATGCTTGACGCATTCACTTTCCGCTTGGTGATGCGTCTCGCGGATGGAACGCGCTTCACAACTTGCAGCGTTTAAGTCACTGCGTCTCGTTATCGGCGCTATTTAAACCAATGCTGTAAAATGACTTCTGCCCAGCCCAGATGTGTTCACATGTGCACCCGTGAGCCGTGGTTCCGGAACGCGTCTGACCTCTGACAGACGCACTCTAAACTTCAGATCTTCAGCGCGTGTGGGGTTTACAACGTCAGAACACCTGCATGAGACAGGTGTTAATTACAATCTGCCAGAATGACTCACCACCTTCAGATTCCTCCAACACCGTTAAAAATGATCAAATACGGAACATGTCGGCGTGCTCAGGCCAGAGCGCTGAAGCTCGGTGCATTATTATTATGAAGCTAGGGCACATGTGGAGGACACACACACACACACACACACACACACACACACAAGTAAAATAAACTTGTTTTCAATTACATTTATTGGGCCCACTTACTTTTTCTTTGGCCCGCCCACAAATGAGTTTCTGGCTACGCTAATGGTGACACCTGACAGACTTCTCTGAGCTCCGCAGCCATTACACTTTTCACCTCGCGCACCCCCTAGCGGCAGCTCGCGCACCCCCGGGGGTGCGCACACCACACTTTGGGAATCCCTGGTGTAGAGAAATCCCAGTCTACGAAGGTAATCCACTGCAGTTCAATTCCTTTATCAAGGCTTTTGAACGTTGTGTAGAATCAAAAACAAGAAACAAAGGTGACTGTTTGTATTATTTGGAACAATACACTAGGGGGCAACCTAGGGACTTGGTTCGTAGTTGTCTTCATTTAACAGCAGACAGAGGGTACGTGTTAGCCAGAAAGCTACTTAAAGAGCATTTTGGGAACGAGCACAAGGTAACTGCATCTTACATGGACAAGGTGTCTGACTGGCCAAACATCAAGGCAGAAGACTCCGCAGCTCTAAAGAAATATGGTCTGTTCTTACGACCAAAGGTGAAAGAAAAGCCTGCTACCAAAAGAGGGATGCTGTCAGTAATCAGCTCAGTGGAAAATTTAACAGATTTCCAAATCGGCAGGTGCCTTAAGCCAGAAGGGTTCAAAAGGGTAATTGGCGCACAAATGCATCACTTCTCTGATGCAAGCCAAAAGGGGTTTGGTACAGCTACTTACCTCAGACTCAAAAATGACAAGGAAGAGATACATGTTTCATTTCTATTTGGCAAGACTAGAGTAGCCCCATTGAAACCTGTTAGAGAAAAAAGAAAAGAAGAAAAACAAGAAAAAAAATGAAAAGAAAAAAAGGATGGCTCAGGGAGTACTTGCCACTAATGCAGGAAAAACAAAATGGATCAAAAGGAAAAAAGGGTTAGAAGTGGGAGACGTAGCTATGGTTATGGACTACACCACTCCTAGAGGATCATGGGTGTTAGGGAAACTCCTTAAAACGTTTCCTGACAAGAAGGGCTTGGTTTGAGTGGTTCGCCTTCAAACCAAGACTAACATTATCGAAAGACGAATAACTAAACTATGTTTAGTGTGTGAAGAGGAAGATTAGGTTTCAGAAAGGTATTACGGGCCTTTTGGTTTATCTTTTTATTGTGTATTGGTGTTTTTTGTGTTTTATAATGGCTCCTGTAATTTAAGTTATTGTAACTGCTTTGTCTTCTGCCATGCGCAATTAGGGGCCGGCGTGTAGGAGCCAGATGTGTCATTTCTTTTTGTGCACTTGAGAGGAGGCTTGGCCTCATGTTATTGGTTAATTGCTTGTGGAAGCACCAGCCTACTTAAGCCAACACAGATTGGACTCAGGTGTGGCTGGATGGGACAAACAGTTTTTTACTGTGTGGCGAGGACTGTGGCTGTATGTAAAGGACTCTGCGGACTGTCATTGGGGCAAGTAACGCATTCACTGAAACCAATTTTACTGCTGTAAATGGATCCTGGACATTCTGGAACAAGACATCATAATAAACATCATCAGAAATAAACTCAAGCTGCATTTCTTAAAGCACACGTAAAGACCACCCGCAACAGCACCAGGTAGTGCCAGTGTATAGGGCACTGGCGCTACACTTCAATAACAATCACTAGAGATCCATCCAATCCGTTATTCATCAAATATAAACTCACTTAACTTAAGGAGGTTAAATCCAGTGTTGGGAACGTTACTTTAAAAAAGTAAATAGTTATAGTTACTGATTACTTTGTCAAATAAGTAACTCAGTTACTAACTGAGTTACAAGATCATAAAAGTAACTAATTACCAACAAAAGTAACTACTTCGTTACTTTTTTCATTAAAGCATGCAAGAATTACTACAATAGTAAAATATAAATGACTGAACATAATAAAATGTATGTCCAAATGTTTTATATAAACCTGAATAATTTAAATAAATAAGCACTTAACAGGAGGAACTACTAACAGGAGCATTACACTTATCTAGACTATTAAAAGGTCACTGTGTGATATTTAACAAGACCCCAATCAGCTAAAATTTAAAATTGCAAATAGAAACACCTGTAAAGGTTCCCGAGCCTTTAAATGGTCTCTCAGTCTAGTTAAATTTCAGAAATAAATGTAATTTTGTACAGTATTCTAATTTTTCCAGCTTCACATAATTGTGTGTTTTTAGCAGCATTTCTGTTGCTGCTAATCTAGTAACGGTTAAATAAATAAATAAAATCCTTTAAAATGACACTAGAAGAGGCACAGATCTGATGGAGGACTCACATTTACTAACGTGGGTCAGACCCGACCACAGAAGAGCTGAAGCTGGGTGGTAAACACACACAGGTAGTTCTGATAACACCTGAGCTCCATGACGTCTGAGACTGATGCATCAGTGTTACAGCGGGACTAAAGACATGATCAGAAACAGGTTACAGCTGGATGATCTAGGAAGGCAGAAGATCAGGACGTCTGAGCGGTGAACAGGTGAGCGGACCTTCGGGACGTCCCGCTGTCACGCCATGAAGGGCACGGCTGCAGACCCGCGGATTCGCTGCTGCAGATTCCCACCTGCAGCAGCAAATCCGCGGGTCTGAAGCCGTAGATATTCATCACGTCTTCCTCGTTCTTCACGGCCGTGATGCTCTTGGATGAAAACATCTGCCTCTTTAGCTCCTGATCAGCTGATGACAGCTTCAACACACCGCGCTGCTTAACGCACGCATGTCCTTACCAGTGACAGAAACGATGTTTTGTTAAAAGAAGACGTAATTAATTAGTTTGCTCGTTACAGAAAGAAATATTTTTTATTAACGTGGTTATTTTAGACGGAGTTATTCCCATCACTGCTCTGTTGTGTCTCCAGCAGGCAGCGACTGAGACCGTGAGGGTCTCCGCCCACCCGGCCAATCATCATCGTGTTTGTGAGCGCGTTACCGACACCTCTCTCTCCCTGGCTGCAGCTGAAGTGTGGCGGTCAGAAAGCCTCACACTGCTGCTCATCGTTCGACAAGCACACAGTAACGCACAACCTTCCGTCCCCAGTAACGGTAACGGCGTTGCAACGGCGGGAAAAGTAATTAATTAGATTATTCCGTTACCTAATAAAGAACGTCGTTAGAAACGCCGTTATACTTAAACGGCGTTACTCCCAACACTGGTTAAATCATCCAGACTGGAGGCTCAGAGCATGTAAACACAAGGTGTTTCCACAGGGATGCTATAGATTTGTTAAGGGTTAACGTTCCTTAATCCCTTCAAAGGATTTGTCACAATCTAGACAGCCTCTCCAAAGCAAATCTGTTCAGCACGTTCTGACAGACCACCATTCTTCTGTCATGTTGCTGTACAGGACATTTATAGTTTTTCTATTTAAAAATAAGAAGTGTTTCATTTAAAGAGCAATACTTTCACGTTATCATTTTCCCACACTTTCTGTTTACCTGTATTTTGTTGTGTTTCAATAAAGAATGACAAATTATTTAAGTTTGGTTTTTGTTGCACACAAATATCTACAAAGCTAATGTTTACATAACAAGTATGATTGGGTTTTGCAATACGGCACTCTGTTTATTTTAGTAAGATTTTTAAACCAAGTAAAGTTAGTAAAGAACACATTTCTATTGGCTGCTAAGAAACTGTTGGGATTTAAAACGGGCCTGTTGTACAAATAACTTGTAAATGATTATTCCTCACTTTCTAGTCGTAACCAAAGAAATTCCAGTAATTGAGCAAAAACATTTATTTTTAACACTACATTTTATAAAACAACAGGGCGCAAAGTGTCGACCCATTAAAAAAAATCCGATGGTCTCTGCAGCTCTCTGGGCACCACGCCTCACTCAGCTGTCTCCAATGATCCAAATGCCTATGGAGAAAAAATAACAGGTTTGTCATAATTGTTTAAAGTACAAAACCATACATGAAGTGGTGAAGACAGGAACTTACACTTGCTGCGTTGTGTAGCTGATGTTGGAGACACACAGGCTGCCATGGTGACCTTTTAATAGATCTACGAAAAAAATGTAATAAAAGAAAAAAACTTAAAAACTCCCAGACCTCATGTCATATTTACTAATCAGCTATGGCTGATTTATTGTTTGGATCACAGTGAGTTACACTAATTCTAATATATTTTTATTTCTATTACACATACATACTTTTTTACTGTTATTTTCACATGACTGTTATCAGGCTGTCTTGTCCTGGTTCTCATGATAATTCCCTACCTAACCCTACCCAAGAATGACTTCCCCTGTCCCGCTGGGAGGGTTTCAAACACCGCCAGCATCTGTTGGAGCCTGTGGCGGGGTGCTGAGAGCTCCAGCCCAGGAATGAGCTCTCCTCGCCGGCCGGGAGGGTTTGAAACACCGCCATCCTCTCCTCTGCTGGCTGGAGACCATGGCGCGCTGTGTAGCGAACCCAGCCAGACAATGGCTAAGCGTACTGATGTTTCTCAAGGAATTTTTATTCATGTTCAGCTGGCATCCTTATTTTGAACATAAATCCACCTTTCCTTTCTTGAAACACCGTAAGAGCTAAAAAAAACAGATAAATGAAATTATAATGAGCTCTTACAAAGATGACCTTTATGCCATACAACCATTCACAATATTATTGAATCTACATTAATAGTAGGTTGAGTGAGATCAAAAATGTGCATGAACATGTTGAAAGCTAAAACCAATATTAAAACTAAGTCCAAGCATTTGAACCACACAAAGGCTAATATTAGCATGGGTGTCCACCTGGCTCTATGATTGAGATGGCTGTTACCATTGTTCTGCATTTAACCACTTTAAACACAACAACATACATAGAAAATCACATCAATCCACATTAAACACATGCATCAAACAATACCTTGTTCCCAATTCCAGCTAGGCGCTTAATTGTCAAAAGGAAGGGTATAGAGGCCCAGTCCTGTCTGTTTGGTCTTACAGCATGCTGTCAGTTTCCAAGCAAAAGTCAATTGGCCTTCTCTGCTCTCCCTTATTTCCTCTGCTGGTCCGTCAAAATAAAAGCATGCAGTACAAAACTATAAAATCAAATTAAAACCATGCAAGAACAATCACTTATTAACAGAGCCTTTCCAGAGTTACTTACACGCTGTTGTTCATTCTGTTATGGTTACCGGTGCTTGTGTTGCAATGTGAAACGCTTGGTCTCAGATTTTGTAAGAAAGATAATAAAATGTCCCCCCAAAATACGACTTAAATATATCTTCTCTTCTTCATGATACATTTAATGGCTGGTGCGACTCAGGAGCGATAGCCCGGAGAATACGGTACTGAAAACTTGCTCAAAGCTAAATGTTTTCATTACGGAAATAAATTATAAACTTACCGATTTAATACTTTTTTAATCCAGGTACTTGTCACGAACAGGCGCTGAAAACCTCCACCTAAACTTCGTGTTAGGTTCAGGTCCATGGGTGTTCCACAGTTAGCTCCGGTAGGGTTGAAGCTAGGTGGCTACATCCGTTAGCTCGGCTCCCACCTCCGCGTTAGCTTTGGGTTAGCCAGGGTTAGCTCGTAGGTAGTTTGCCCGGGTGTCGTCAGTCGATCCCAGCCTTACAGCCCCACCCTCAGCTCCTCCTCTCTTCCCTTTTGTGGAATTGTCTGGGCTGGACGGAACCTGTGACACGGTCAAAATGGCGGTGGTGGCCACCTCCCATTATAGACAAAAAACGTGTTATTGGAGCCTATGGAATCGTTTTGTCCAGTATGTACAGTCTATGGTCCGAATCCAGAGGAAGGATGCTTGTAAGAGCGCATTTTGAGGTCGATGACGTCACAGCGCAGAGACGAGTACTGTCCGAATTCCAAGAATCCTCATTCTCGCGTCCTCAAACACGTCCTCGCTCCACCCACATTTCGAGGATGGGTCTGATGGATCCTCACAGGAGCAAGGGTATCCCAGCATGCTTTACGCGCCGGCCGCTGGACTCGACACTCGCAACAACGGGGGACGGAGCGGGACAGCAGTACAGCTTAAAATGTAAGTTAGTTAAAAAAAATAGCGGTCAAAAAATAAAATACGTGTTTGGGCACTTTTGGTTTGTGTTTTATATAAGATCTAATACCACAAATTGTTCTTTTTCATGTAATTTAAGGCTAAAACATGCCCCACCGAAAACCAGCTTGAATGTTTAATAGGAAAAACCCACCGTAAACTAGCTTGATCCCAGCAGGCTTTTTAAAAGAGAATAGCGGTAGAAAACTAAGCTGAAAGCGGTTCTGTTTATAGACATTTTTCGTTTGTATAAGTACATTTTAAGCAGAAATCAGCGAGAACGAGCTTGTATGGTGGTCCCGTCATAAGTCCCGTGTGTGTGTGTTTATTTAGCGAATAAAGCTTCTCATCATTTGTTTTAAGGTTAACACCCCACCGTAAACTTGCTTGAAAGTCTAATAGGAAAAAACTCACCGTAAAAGAGCTTGCATCTTATGTAATCATGTAACGAACGCCAAAAACAACGAAAACTAAGTTTAATGTTTATTTAAGTTAATTTCTAAGAAACCACATTACTGATTTAATGTTTTTAATTTTCATTTTAGGCGGAAAAAAACACAGAACACAATTTTCATCTCCCATGTTGATAAATTAAAATATTGTTTATTGCATGTTTTATCAACTATGATTTATAATCTGACTTTGTTCTTCTGTTCCTCTCTATTCTCATCCAGAACCAGTACCTTTATCTGTAATTTCATTATGCCCACAGTGTTCTCTGTTGTTAAATGACAATAAAGCCTTGTAATTCTAACTCCCTTTGTCTGTAGGACTGCAAGCATCCAGGGTCAGGAGAGGGAGTCAGCGGAAAGCCCACTGCTGAAACCTGGCCCTGGTTTGTCCCCATGGACGAGGTGTTGGGACAGAGGCCTTCCACTATGCCTCCTGTCCTTATTGCTTCCATTCCCGAGGACACTCCAGGGCCAAGTGCAGCAGTGGGTGAGACAGAGGACAGGGAGAGTGGTGGAAGGAAGCCGGACTCCTCATCAGGGAGAAAAAGGAGAAGGGCTGATGAGCTCCTTGACCTGATCAGGGAGGACATGAGACAACAGAGGGAAGCGGAGGAGAGGAGAGAAAGAAGGATGGACAGATTTTTAGCATTGATGGAAAGGATGGCAGAGAAATGGGGTTTTTTTCTTTTAGTTTCTTCTTGTTCAGGTTCTATATATGTGTTTGAATTTTTTTGTTATTTGTTTAAATGTAATAAAATTTCTATTAATTGATAACTCTTTTTTGATCATTAACAGTTTTATTATTCAGTTTTTAACAAGTAACAACATAGTAAATAAATGGTAAGGGAACACTGTAAGGAATAAAAGTAAAGATAAAAGTAAAATATATACAGTAAACTTGGAAAGCAGGGAGTCTTTGGTGGTGTTGCTAAATCTACTAAACATGGATCATCGAGGTGGATGGAGTGCAGGAACCGAGATCCGTGGCTGAACGTTTCTGGTTGGCAAGTGGAACATCAGACAGAGTGGTCTGCAGAGGGTGCTTCTGGATGCCTCATCTCACTGACCACTGCATCGTCCATCAAAAGGGTTTGCTGGGCTGGCTCAATCGACGGCTGTCACATCACTAACATTCAGATATATGCAAAAAAGTTGATCATGAGTATAATACTTGTAACTCTAGCAGATAACAGGACTCAATGATTTTTAAACTTTAAATACAAAGGCCGGTGACGTTTATTGAGCCGTCGCAGCTCCTCAAAAACCACAAATAAAATGAAATATTGCTGTGGATCCATTTTCAACGTCGCTACTAGCTTGTTAGCTTGTTAGCCTGTTTGCCGCCGTCACGGTAGCTAGGCAACTTGACCTGGGGGCGGGAATAAAAACGAGGCTAGTACTGTCCGAATTCAGAGCCGCTGACTTCCGGTTTTAGACCGGCGAGGACCCGTACTCACAAGCATCCTTCCTCTGGATTCAGACACAGCCGTTGAGCTCAGAGCTTTTTTGTCCCTGCTCTTTAGTTGTGCGGTTGAAGCTGAAGTCCTTTTAAAGCTGGTTGCCAGGTATGTGGTGGGAAGGTTGTGGACCAGGTAAGATGGGGTACCCTGTACATCTGCACACATAGTATCTGGATGTCTAAAAACACTAGGTAAGCGTGGGTAGTACCTCCCTTGTACTGGTTTTAGAATGCCATTTTTGTAGACAAGTAAGTTAGGTTTTTCTTTCTCTTTTTTTGTCTCAAGATTAAGAGTTCAGTTAGGGTGTGTTTTGTTTTATTTATTTCATTTATTTGGTCTACCCACAGGTCCCTTCTTTTCCCCCACATTTCTTTTTTATTATCTTCAGCAAATAAACTTTTTTGCTCTTTAGCAGAACGGCCTCCTCCATTATTGTGACTGTCATGTTGCTTCCCCCACACCCTAGACTGGGGGGGAACGTAACAGGCGCTTTCTGAGCTGAAGACGATGTGAGATTCTGGGACTCTCCTCAGACGCCACATTGGAGACAGGAACAAGCAGAATTCAGCCAAAGTTTCATCATCAGGGAACATTTTCTAAGTGACCAGTCCCTCTGCGAGACCGGGTTTGGAAAACTCTCGCTTCGGTGGAAGGAATCTTCCTGCATGCGCTCTGGTTCTGCGATGCGCTCCAAGCCCCTCTCCACATCTTCAGCTCGCTCTGTACCTTACGTACACGAGTAAAACCACCAACAGGGTGAAAAATATCAAAATATTGTAGGCAGAGACGGGCTACAACTTCTGGATCCACTTTATATAAATCGTTTTATTGATTATCTTCTTATGAAAGATAAATTTGACGTACACGAGCGACCGGTACCGGCTGCTGTCACCTGTTGTGAGCAGCGCTCTGCTGTCTGAGGGTAGGCCCCGCCCACAACGCCACGGCTGCTGCTGTGTTTTTTTTTACTGTGGGAAACGGGTAATAATGGCTCTTTGATGGGAACAGATTGCCGACCCCTGGTTTAGCTTGACGTCTGATTGATATATATATATATATATATATATATATATATATATATATATATATATATATATATATATATATATATATATATATATATATATATATATATATATATATATGTACATATATATTAATACACATAGCCATGCCCTGATGTGGGGCTGGGGGGTGCGCGGCTAAATAAGTTTGGGAACCACTGCAATATATAAGCCACCATTACATTGTAACTAGTAGTTATTACATGGTATTATAATTTCCAGAAGCTTGCTGCTGAACACGTGACTGAAATACATAAATTGTACTGATTATATGTGACTTTAGATATGTTTAGACTAGGAAGAGTGATGGTAAACCTTCACTAAACGTCATGAGTGATGAAGGAAGCCATAGAGATAAGGAGACGTGGATGCGGGACCATGAACAGAGACGATGGGGTCTACACATTGGATCGTGCATGGGACTGTGTCATCAGTGAGGGGAGAGCGGGCAGCAGAGGGCGACAACGTCCTCTGCTGCCCGCGGATAAACTGAGTAGGAAGTGACGCCACCATCAGAGTCAGCTCTGAGGAAGTTTACAGCCACGAACAAAACTGTCAGCAAGGTAAGAAAAACTTTTCTGTGTTTTAAAAAGAACCAAAAATGCAACGTCATACTAAAACAAGTCACTTTAGTGTTAACCCTCTCAGGCTCAAAATAAGTCTTGCTAAAAGGACGAACAACTAAGTCCTTCAGGGGAACTTCTGAGTTAAAAAATGCTCATGAAGTACGTATGTGGAGTAACCAGGTAGGTAGGTTTTTACGTTGCTAATCTGCAACGCCTGCCTCCAGAGGGTTAAACAAATTATTAAATCTGAAATCAGCTTTAGTCTTCAGTTTGTTCTCAATGTGCATGGCATAACGGATGGTGGCCCTCGGTAGTTTAGAAACTCTGGATACGGCCCTGCTACTATCTCTCATCAGAAGCGCACGCGAAGCACCGCAGCTAGAGAGGAAAAAGCCTGTGGTTTTTCAAAATAAGGTAAAAATTTGAATTTTTCTTAATATTTAAATTATTTCAAACTACGATTATGGTTAGCATAAGTGCGCAAATATAGGCTATATGTGTCACTTCTTACATTGTTGTACAGAAGTGTAACGGGTTACGATTTGTTGTGGTTGGGCTTTTATGTTGAAGGGATGTTCTTGGCCGGCTGTGTGCAGAGTTCCGGTTCGGGTGTTTAGAAGAAAACGAGCTAGTGTGATCGGAGATCGTTAACGGTGTTTCTGCTGGAGTTAAGACGTGGGCTGCGGCCAACAGTAACCCGGAATAAAGATCCGAAACGGAAACAACAAGTTGGAGTCATTAGCATCTCTTAGAAAAGGCAACAAAAGTGTGTTTTATAGGTGTGGTGGCTTTTGTTGAGCCGTGGCGGTGCGACACGAACTAGTTTAGCCCAGCAGAAAGGCCCCGCGGCTGGCTGGACCCAGCTCGACACAGCAGCAGAGCGGTAAGCTTCATATCACTCTAAAATGTCGGCTAACTTTACTGTACACGTTCATTTACGGGCATTAGCAGCGTGCTAGCATTAGCATCCCACCTGCTAACGCTAGCACAACATGCTAGTAAAGTTAGCACCCAGATTAATGTGGATTCGGACGATTTTCGTGGAATAAAACGTGATCTGGGAATTGTGATGAACGCCTTTTTACACCAGATGATAACCTTCCACTGACTGTAGCAGCAGAGCGCCTGTGTGTGTTACTCCGTGAGTGTGATGTGATGTTAGCATCCAGTAAATAAATCCCACATCAGCTAAAGAGCAGCGCGACTAAAGGTTAAAGTGCGTCAGCACAGCGGATTTAATACGAGTTTTAAAGAACAATCTCTGAGTGAAGTGAGGCTAGTTTTTGTCTCTCTGCAGATATAAAAACCAACTCTGCATCAGTCACACGCAGCTAAGCTCACCGTTGGGCAGGGCCGGTGTTCTGACAAAACGTCCTACCCGTAGGATAATTTTACGCTGCCTCATGACAAACTGCCCTACTTTGGCCAAATGTCCTACTGTACGTAATTTATGCACATTCCTGCTGCCAAACAATAATTCCAGCACAAATTTAAGTAGATATGACAGTTTACCACTTAACTTTGCCAATCAGAGTATGTTTGTAGTTGATATTCATAAAGCCAGTACGGTTTGACACTTCTTTTTACCTTTTAAAGTGTGCTTGTAGGTCATATTCACAAAGGTAGCATGCTTTGGCACGTAATTTTTATGCTTGTAGTTTTTAATAACAAAGGTAGCATGTTTTGGCACGTAATTTTTATGCTTGTAGTTTATAATAACGAAGGTAGCATGTTTTGGCACGTAATTTTTATGCTTGTAGTTTATAATAACGAAGGTAGCATGTTTTGGCACGTAATTTTTATGCTTGTAGTTTATAATAACGAAGGTAGCATGGTTTGGCATGTAATTTTTATGCTTGTAGTTTATAATAACGAAGGTAGCATGTTTTGGCACGTATTTTTTATGCTTGTAGTTTATAATAACGAAGGTAGCATGTTTTGGCACGTAATTTTTATGCTTGTAGTTTATAATAACAAAGGTAGCATGTTTTGGCACGTAATTTTTATGCTTGTAGTTTATAATAACGAAGGTAGCATGTTTTGGCACGTAATTTTTATGCTTCTAGTTTATAATAACAAAGGTAGCATGTTTTGGCACGTAATTTTTATGCTTGTAGTTTATAATAACGAAGGTAGCATGTTTTGGCACGTTATTTTTATGCTTCTAGTTTATAATAACGAAGGTAGCATGTTTTGGCACGTATTTTTTATGCTTGTAGTTTATAATAACGAAGGTAGCATGTTTTGGCACGTAATTTTTATGCTTGTAGTTTATAATAACGAAGGTAGCATGGTTTGGCATGTAATTTTTATGCTTGTAGTTTATAATAACGAAGGTAGCATGTTTTGGCACGTATTTTTTATGCTTGTAGTTTATAATAACGAAGGTAGCATGTTTTGGCACGTAATTTTTATGCTTCTAGTTTATAATAACAAAGGTAGCATGTTTTGGCACGTAATTTTTATGCTTGTAGTTTATAATAACGAAGGTAGCATGTTTTGGCACGTAATTTTTATGCTTGTAGTTTATAATAACAAAGGTAGCATGTTTTGGCACGTAATTTTTATGCTTGTAGTTTATAATAACGAAGGTAGCATGTTTTGGCACGTAATTTTTATGCTTCTAGTTTATAATAACGAAGGTAGCATGTTTTGGCACGTAATTTTTATGCTTGTAGTTTATAATAACAAAGGTAGCATGTTTTGGCACGTAATTTTTATGCTTGTAGTTTATAATAACGAAGGTAGCATGTTTTGGCACGTAATTTTTATGCTTCTAGTTTATAATAACGAAGGTAGCATGTTTTGGCACGTAATTTTTATGCTTCTAGTTTATAATAACGAAGGTAGCATGTTTTGGCACGTAATTTTTATGCTTGTAGTTTATAATAACAAAGGTAGCATGTTTTGGCACGTAATTTTTATGCTTCTAGTTTATAATAACGAAGGTAGCATGTTTTGGCACGTAATTTTTATGCTTGTAGTTTATAATAACAAAGGTAGCATGTTTTGGCACGTAATTTTTATGCTTGTAGTTTATAATAACGAAGGTAGCATGTTTTGGCACGTATTTTTTATTCTTCTAGTTTATAATAACGAAGGTAGCATGCTTTGGCACGTAATTTTTATGCTTCTAGTTTATAATAACAAAGGTAGCATGTTTTGGCACGTAATTTTTATGCTTGTAGTTTATAATAACGAAGGTAGCATGTTTTGGCACGTAATTTTTATGCTTGTAGTTTATAATAACGAAGGTAGCATGTTTTGGCACGTAATTTTTATGCTTCTAGTTTATAATAACGAAGGTAGCATGTTTTGGCACGTAATTTTTATGCTTCTAGTTTATAATAACGAAGGTAGCATGTTTTGGCACGTAATTTTTATGCTTGTAGTTTATAATAACGAAGGTAGCATGTTTTGGCACGTATTTTTTATTCTTCTAGTTTATAATAACGAAGGTAGCATGCTTTGGCACGTAATTTTTATGCTTCTAGTTTATAATAACGAAGGTAGCATGTTTTGGCACGTAATTTTTATGCTTGTAGTTTATAATAACGAAGGTAGCATGTTTTGGCACGTAATTTTTATGCTTGTAGTTTATAATAACGAAGGTAGCATGTTTTGGCACGTAATTTTTATGCTTCTAGTTTATAATAACGAAGGTAGCATGTTTTGGCACGTAATTTTTATGCTTGTAGTTTATAATAACGAAGGTAGCATGCTTTGGCACATAATTCTTATGCTTGTAGTTTATAATAACAAAGGTAGCACGTTTTGGCACATAATTCTTATGCTTGTAGTTTACAATAACAAAGGTAGCATGTTTTGGCACGTAATTTTTATGCTTGTAGTTTATAATAACAAAGGTAGCATGTTTTGGCACGTAATTTTTATGCTTGTAGTTTATAATAACGAAGGTAGCACGTTTTGGCACATAATTCTTATGCTTGTAGTTTATAATAACAAAGGTAGCACGTTTTGGCACATAATTCTTATGCTTGTAGTTTACAATAACAAAGGTAGCATGTTTTGGCACGTAATTTTTATGCTTGTAGTTTACAATAACGAAGGTAGCATGTTTTGGCACGTAATTTTTATGCTTGTAGTTTATAATAACGAAGGTAGCATGTTTTGGCACGTAATTTTTATGCTTGTAGTTTATAATAACGAAGGTAGCATGTTTTGGCACGTAATTTTTATGCTTGTAGTTTATAATAACGAAGGTAGCATGCTTTGGCACATAATTCTTATGCTTGTAGTTTATAATAACAAAGGTAGCACGTTTTGGCACATAATTCTTATGCTTGTAGTTTACAATAACAAAGGTAGCATGTTTTGGCACGTAATTTTTATGCTTGTAGTTTATAATAACAAAGGTAGCACGTTTTGGCACATAATTCTTATGCTTGTAGTTTATAATAACAAAGGTAGCACGTTTTGGCACATAATTCTTATACTTGTAGTTTACAATAACAAAGGTAGCACGTTTTGGCACTTGTTTGTAGAAGCAGTCTGCATGCCAAGGTGCCTAAGTTATACAGCTGTCACCATTGAAGTGATTGGAACACCTGACTATATAAACTTTGACAATGAACTCACTCCATTATAGTTACAGTATATATTTACTGAATATATTTACAGATACATATATTTGACATTTATAGACCCAACAGAACACAGGGACAAAGAACTGAAAAGGAAATTTAATGTCAACTGTCATACCAAACCAGTAAAATCTGGAACACACTGCATTTAGTGTTTTGTGTGTGCCAGTGTGTCCTCCGACTGGAGATGAATGAAACTCATGAAAAATCTTCCTGGCATCATCCATGGTTTTTACTACTCTTCTGGTTCCAACAAAGAGTTCTCCATCTGCAGTAAAACAATATATATTTAGAATTTAATGTAACCACATATATGAGTTGTTAGGATGAACAATAAATTACTGACCCTTTTGTTTGAATGTTGAGGCATATCTTCTGAGGTTTTGCCTCTGAGCCTTGTCATATCCTGAAGGGTAGGAGCCCGCAGAAATGAATGTGTACATCTCTTCCCACTTCTTCTCCATATCTATGAATGTAAGTAGACATTTTCTTCTGAGCTTCAATATGTGCAGTTAACAATGCAAATAATTTAACTTATTAAATAGCGACATTACCGAAACAGCCTTAAAACACCGAAGCTGCGGATTCAGAAGTGTTGTCCAAATACCACATGTCCAGTAACCACAGCAGACTTAACCAAAGCTGCAAATTCGACAGTTTTGTGCAGAAAGCAGATAGCGACTTTACTTTAACATTGACAAACAATCACAAAGGCTTAATTAAATCAATAAAAAGTACTAATACTTAACTACTTACCCATTTTCCTGCAAATCTGACAACGGAGTAGCATGAAATCACAGCCGGATGCGCTTTGCTTCCCTTTTTGTGTTGTGCGCGTGCGCGCACATGCGCAGGAACGACGGGTAGGACGGTTTACGGGGTAGGAGAAATTCCCGGAACACCGGATTATCAGTGCAGGGGCCCCTGGGCACAATGTGTTTAGGCGCCCCCACCCCACCCGGCCTCCCCCAACATTACTGTCACCCACGCCCCCACAATGCGGCTCAAAAATCGAAGCAATCCCGGAAGTACCAAAAATTGCAGTTCCACCCTCATCCACTAGGGGCTGGTGTCAGAAGCGAGCAAATCCTCATTGACTCCCATGTTAAAAATACCAAATTCACAGCAGAAATAAACATGTTTACAGCCTGGTACCAAAACATGTTTTTGGTTTAAATGATCTAGTTTACACTCATGACAACTCTGAGGGGGGTGAATGTTTTTCTCACTCTTCTGTTTAAGTGTATTAAAAACCTAAAATTCTGTATAATTAATGAGCATCAGACCCACGTGACCACAGAGCTAGCTCCGTGGAAAGGCCTCAGTAGAGCCTCGGTCTCGCCTGGAAACAGTTCCGGGATTTTGAGTCTCTGTGTGTGTGTATTCTGTTTGGATATTATTTGTGCAATTGTTGGACAAAATGACTTGCTGTGGCATTAATTGCACTAATAGAGCGTCCAAGGAGTCTCCACTTAATTTTTTTGGTAAGTAAAATTATATTTATGTATTTTAGGTCACTGCCGAGCTGAGCTTAGATGTTAACATGTACTGTTTAACCATGAAATTTAAATGTAATAGGGTAAAACCCAGTGCATTTAACATAATGCTGCACTTTAGAAAATGGGTTGAAATATAACATGTTGGTGGAGCTGGGTTCCCACTATCGGCTTGTGGAGCTCTCGGGAGACCGATGTTTTCCACGCGTTGTCCCCTCCCCACAGCTCGGAGCATCTCTGTCTGATTGCGGCTCCTGTCTGCTGCGCAGCTGACGGCTTGTGGAGCTCCAGGATGGAAACCTTTCCACCCGGTTCTCCCCAGCGGCAGCTCTGCGCATCTCAGATCGCAGCGGCGCTTGTCTGCTGTGCGGCTGCCGGCCTGTGGAGGTCTCGGAGACCTCTGTGTTCCACCCGGTTTTACCCAGCGGTCAGCCCGGTGTGTCATTGACTGCGTTTACATGCAGCCAGTAACCCTTTTAAAACCTGAATATTCACAATAACCCGGTTCTGCACGGCCTTGTAAACACCGCCAGAAACCCGGATATGCTCATAACCGGGTTTTAAAAACCCGGTTACTACACCTGGGGTAACCCTTTTCTAACCCGAATGTTTGGTCGTGTAAACGCATACCGGGATATCCCCATCAAAGCGTGTGTTCTGCACATGCTCTGTTCGCAAGGAATCTTGGTCTTTTGAGTAGCGAGACGTCTTGTATGCGCCCGAACTCCGGAAGTAAACAACAAGTTGGGAGCAACATGGCGAGTCGCGGCACAGCGCCACACTTTTGGAGTGACGAGGAAACCTCTGTCTTCATCGGTCTGGTGATGAGTATGAACATTATGTCTGTGATTCCCTCCAAGCAACACAGACGCAAGTGATTTCTTTTACGGGTTTATTGGACGTCCTTTCTTTGTGGACCTCTTCTGTCCTCCTTTCCTTAGACCTCCCTTAAACCGAGAAACTAAATATACAGGATATTACAATTAAAACATGTACAATAATGTGCAACAAAATAAAGACAAATAAATACCTCGTTGGCTGTTTTGCTTAAACACAAAGGGAGTCCATCTGTCTTCCTTTAAGTCCTTTCATTATTTATTCCTTTGGCAATGAATTGAACCTCAGTCCATTCTCAGCTAGCTGCTTGTCAGCACTTCATCCAGTTTCTGTGTGTTCCTCACACCTGGCTTGTATTCATCCATTAAGGGTGTGGCTGGCAGAGCAGCTCATGTAGCTTTTCAAAATAAAATTACAGGAAACACAACCAACCCAGTGTCTTACAAATGGGAAAATTGATGCGAGCGTGCCCTTTAAGAGGTTCCGTTAGACCCTCGAGTTACGCTGCTTACTTAGGGAGGTTACTCAGGGGGGGGGGGGGGGGGGGGGCTTGGGGAGAAATTATGACACTAAATAAAGTAAAATTTTCCAGTGCAGAGTGGAGACAACCCATAGAAGCACTGATTTGATCTCATTTCAATGAAAAATAGAACAGGTCAGATGCACCTAATAAATAAAATTATTAACAAACTCAGGAATGTTTCTTTGCTTCACTGTTCTGGTGCTGAGAATATCACTCATGCGGATCTAAGGAGATCCACAGATGAATGCACCTCTTATTTATTATTTGGAGACTACATTTACTGCAGCTGGCAGAGGCAGAGATTGTTTCTATTGATACACGGATTTACAGAATCATTTTAAATGTTAATAGGGGAAGACTGCAGGAGGGAGCGGTAAAATACAGGGGGTCCCCAGCAAAAACAAGAAACTACGAGTCTGATGAAACCCGCTGGTTTTCCATCAGGCAGTCACGGGGCAGCTCCAACGACCCAGTGGCTGTGCTGGGTCAATGTTATCGAGCCCAGTCCGGTACCGGCTCGGCCGTGAACGAGCCGAGGCGACGTCGTGCTCTGCTTAAGAAGAGGTGTTATTTTCCCGCTTCAGAAGAGCGTCCAACGTGTTTTTACGCTTTCTCCGACACATGTCACGTTGCTAAGTTGTTAGCGCTGCGCGCTAACACGTCAATAGTGCAGCGTAGCCTGCTGGAGGTTTTCAGGGTTCAGATGAAAACACCCGACCTCTCAGGCTGCTCACACATCGATCTTAAGTTGTCGCTGTTGCGCTCACGCCGTAATACAGTACTAGATGCGGTTAAAGTCAGACATGAAAAAATAAATACATTTTACATGAATAAGTGATGATTAGCCTGGTGGGGGGAGGAGAACCTGTCAAGATCGTCAACACTCGTTTATCTTAATGCTATTGAGACATGTAAATCAAAAAGCATTATATCCACTGCTACCTTTCTAATTTTAAACTCAGTAACTTATGCTGTAACTGCACCTTGCCCTGCCTGCTCCTCCTTGCTGCCTGCCGGCTGTGATCACAAGCGACAACATAGTAGTTCCCGCTGCTTCTTCAGGAAACAGCGCCAAAAAAAAAAACCAAATAAATAAAACTTGGGATCTTGTAGGCGTGGTGGTGGGATTTCAACAGTGGCGGGCCGCCACGGCTAAGCCTATGTAAGGGAAACCCTGGGCCCCTCCCGTTGTGTCCTCTTCCTTTGCCACTTCTGTCTGTGGCTCTGGTCTTCGGGAGCATGCGACAAAATAAATGAAGAAATAAACAGCAACAGCAGTTACAATGTCTTTTGTTGATGGCCGAAAGTACAGAGACAGCGAAATATACAAGAAGGTAACCGAAAAGTTACGGATACCGGAACGAGAAGAACCCGAAATGACGCATATTGCGTCTTGACGTAGTCCATACGTCCTAGGGCTGGGCGATATGGACCAAAACTTATATCTCGATATCTTTAAGCTGAATTCCGATATACGATATATATCTCGATATTTTTCCTCCTGTAAACTGTTGACAACTTAACTCACTTCAAGCTCTTGAGAAATTATATACATAAATCAGTAGGTTAAATGCATAAAAATGTATTGATTCTTGTCAAACTTAAACCGTAGTGCCTATTCTCTACCAGTCTGAGCTTTAGTAACACAGGTACAGCTGTCTGCTAACTAACACACACACACACACACACACACACACACACACACACACACACACACACACACACAGTTGAGAGCCAGAGGTGTATCAAATGTCCCACAGGCACTTTTTAATTATACATTTATAATTAATGTAAAATTATTTAAATTTCATCTAGAGGTGGCCCATATTGTATAGGTCTTGTCCAGAGAAAAAAAATCCATCATGTTAAGCTAAATGTACGATGATGTAATTGCATCTACTGAAGATCACAAGGGTCATGCACCATGGAGTTATTAGTTATTAGAAAAACTAGTTATTAACTAGTTGTTAGTTATTAGTTAGCAGTGTTGGCTCATATCAGCAATTATACTGTAATGATTCAGAGTCTCTGGTTGCTCTTTTATGAGTGTTATTTTCGGGCTACTGTCGCCATAACCCACACCTTACAAACTCAACTTTTTCATCAGAATCACTCGTAACGGAGTATTTACTAGCATAGCAAACCAGAGCGGAAAAAACCCGAACCGGAACAACATTTCTCACCCGTTGAGCTCGCCTTCAAAATAAAACGGTAACCCTATAGTTTACTATTCAAATCCTTAAATATGTTTCAGGTCATTTGGCCACTCCGGCTTTCCGTAGCCGTTTCCTCATTACACAGGGGAGGGAGGGGTTTGGCTCATCTCTCCGCACAAGCAGGATGGAAAACAGAACTCCGTTGGCATTGAACGTCCCCAAATAATTAAAAACCAGGAGGCCAAATGCAAAGTTTAGAGCAGCACATTTACCCAGAGGCTCTCAGACTGAGCAAACTTGTGAGAATACACGTAATAGCCGCTTAGAGACGGAGCAACATGTCGCTAGCATAGCGGCTAATCGCTAGCATAGCAGTTTGGCCAGTTATATCGATATAAAGATATAAAGTCATCTTATATCTTGTTTAAAAATTATACCGATATTTAAAGAATATCGATATAT